AAGTGGTTTAAACCCAGAGCTCAGCTGGACTTCTAGGAGGGGCCTTGCTTTCTTGCTTCTGCTCACCTTCCCACGGGCAGTTCTTCCTTTAAAAAAAAACCTCCCAGATCTGCCTCCTCCTCTTTCCACAGTTGTGACTCTTCTTTGGGACATCACCTTCCCTTGCCTGCATACCAGTGCCAGCCTCCTAACACATCTCCCTGCATTCTCGCCCCCAATCCATTTGCCACAAAGCAGAGTCACTTTGTTTGTTTGTTCTTTTAGAGGCAGGGTCTCCTTCTGTCGCCCAGGCTGGAGTGCAGTGGCACAGTCACGGCTCACTGCGCCCTTGGCTTCCTTTGCTCAAGTGATCCTCCCGTCTCCACTTCCTGAGTAGCTGGGATAGCAAGTGCATGCCATCTCGCCCGGCACATTTTTTAATTTTTTTGTAGAGGTGGGGTCTGGCTGTGTTGCCCAGGCTGATCTCAAACTCCTGGACTCAAGTGATCTTCCTACCTTGGCCTTCCAAAATTCTGGAATTACAGGTGTGAGCCACAGTGCCCAGGTGACAGACTAACATTTTTAAAAACATGACCAGCGAAATTGTGGTTTTCCCCATTTAAAAAATTTACAGGAGGCCAGGCAAGGTGGCTCACGCCTGTAATCCCAGCACTTTGGGAGGCTGAGGTGGGCAGATCACCTGAGGTCAGGAGTTCAAGACCAGCCTGGCCAACATGGTGAAACCCTATCTCTACTAAAAATACAAAAATTAGCCGGGTGTGGTGGCATGCACCTGTAATCCCAGCACTTTGGGAGTCCGAGGCAGGTGGATCACTTGAGGTCAAGAATTCAAGACCAGCCTGGCCAACATGGTGAAACCCTGTCTCTACTAAAAGTACAAAAATTAGCCAGGTGTGGTGGCAGGTGCCTGTAATCCCAGCTACTCAGGAGGCTGAGGCAGGAGAATTGCTTGAATCCAGGAGGTGGAGGTTGCAATGAACCGAGATGACACCACTGCACTCCAGCCTGGGCAAGAGAAAGAGAGACTTCATCTCACACACACACACACACACACACACACACACACACACACACACACAAAGCCTGCAGGGGCTTCCTCTTTACTCCAAGGAAAATCAGTGTCTGCATGGCTGCCCACCCTCAGCCTTATCCCCAAGTCCCACCTTCTCCTCTGGCTCAGCTCTGACCCTGGGCTATGCTGGCTTGTCCTCTCCTTGGGTCTTTGCCACCTCCATCTCTCACCCTCCAAGACGTAGGTCAACTGTCACTTTCTCAGGAAACACCTGCTCGACTGCCAGCCCCTTGACCGTGCCCATGGTCCCCCACCTGTGGCGTGTGCCTGCCGTCCCAGCTACTCGGGCAGCTGAGGTGGGAGGATCGCTCGAGTGCAGAAGGTTGAAGCTACAGTGAGCTGTGACTGTGCCACTGCACTCCAGCCTCGGCAACAGAGGGAGACCCTGTCTCTAAAAAACAAACCAAAGAAGTGACTGCTGTGTGGCGAATGGATCACGGGCACTCTACCGAGTGACACGGCATAGGGGCTTCGTAAATACCCATGGAATTAGGACCTTCCAGTCCCTGTCATTTGGTGCTTCATTGATTTCTGTTCTCTTTTTGGAGATGGAGTTTGGCTCTGTCGCCCAGGCTGGAGTGCAGTAGTGCAATCTCAGTTCACCGTGCAACCTCCACCTCCCAGGTTCAAGTGATTCTCCTGCCTCAGTCTCCCACGTAGCTGGGATTACAGGTACCCACCACCACGCCCGGCTAATTTTTGTATTTTTAGTAGAGACGGGGTTTCACCATGTTGGCCAGGCTGGTCTCAAACTGACCTCAAGTGATCCACCCGCCTCGGCCTCCCAAAGTGCTGGGATTACAGGTGTGAGCCACTGTGCCCGGCCTGATTCCTGTTCTTTAAGCAGCTGCCAGTCCCCCTGAGCCGTCCTGAGCTCTGCTCAGTGCTTGGGTGTCTCCAGTGCCCTCGGCTGGGGCCTGGCTCTCCCATTCCTGCTACCCTGCTAGGACCCAGGCTGCTGGGCTCTTACCTGTTGTGGGAAAACGAAGCCACTGGTCAGGCTGGCGAGGAGGAGGAGGAGGAAAAGGCAGACGGCCCAGATCTGTGAACTGAGTGCCATTGTGCCGTCTGTCTGTCTGTCCGGCTGTCCCACTGCTGGGTCTTGAGCTTGCTCTGGTGTCTGGGACCCAGTGACAGTCGCTTTTATGGGGCCTGCCAGGGGAGGCAGTGGTCTGAGCCCCCTCCCCTTTGCTCTGACTCATTTCCAAGAAGATAGTGGCGCCGAAAAGGCGGGAGAGATAAGCGGGAACAGAGCAACAGGGAACAGGGTTGTGTCACCCTCAGCCAGCAGGTGTGTCCTGGGGGTGGGGCAGACGGGGCCACAGACACACACTGCTCACCAGCCCAGCTGTCCAGGGAAACCTTTCCCCATCATGATGTCATCCTGCTGATTGGGAAAAAGTTCCCCGCTTTGCTTCAGCGGTTAAGCAGTTTGATGAGCAGAATCAAGGTTCCACTCTCCTCCACTTGCTTCCCGGCTGCCATGAGCACGGGGCATGGCCAGTAACTACAGGCCCCTCAGGAGTGTCCAGCATGTTCAGGGAAGCATCCATTGTGCTGGGCTCTCACCACACATGCATAGGTTCTGGCAGAGAACACTGGATAGCCCTGAGCAGGATGGGCATCAGCATGTGCCTCTGATCCACACATGGTGTTTTCCCAGTGTCAGACCCTTGAGATGTGTCTCTGGTAACTGGAAAATGTTTGAGAAAACTTTTGGCCATAAATGACAGCAGTAATATGGCCCAACACCATGGCTCATACCTGTGATCCCAGCACTTTGGGAGGCTGAGGCATGAGGATTGCTTGAGCCCAGAAGTTCAAGACTAGCCTGGGCAACATAGGGAGACCCCCATCTCTACAAAAAAAAATTTAAACAAAGTTAGCCAGGCATGATGGCACACATCTGTAGTCCCAGCTATCTGGGAGGCTGAGGCAGGAGGATCGCCTCAGCCCAGCTTAAGCCCAGGAGGTTGAGGCTGTAGTAAGCTATGATCGTGCAACTGCACTGCAATCTGGGTGACAGTGAGACCATCTATAAAATATGAAATAGCGGTAATAGCTAACATTTGCTGTCTGATGAGTGCATTTTATATGACGGCACATATGTTAACTCACTGCTGCACCAGCTCAGCCTGTGCCGCTTATTCTCCCAGCAGCACTTGCTGTTCCACCCTGGGCTTTGCTCTGTATTCAGGGGCTGCCTTCTCAGCCATCCAACCCTAGGGGCCTGGGCTCCCCAGACCCTCCTCCCTCTTAGGAACCTCCTCCCCGTTGAACACTCATTTCCTTCACTTTAAAGAAAACGCACCAATGGCAGAGATCAGGGTACAGCCCAAGCTTGACCAGCCAGAGGCAGAGCTGGGATTCCAGCCTGGACAGCCTGACCCCAGGGCCTGTGCACTTACCCATAGGCTTCCCCATCTCCCCTAAAACACAGCAGGGCACAGTGGCTTGTTAGACCTGCTCCAGAGCAGACCGTGCACATCTCGAAATTCTGCATTCAGCAGCATCATGGTGGTACCCTGAAATCAGCAGTGGTGGGAGTGTTGACATACAGAAATCGGCAAGCACTACAAGCCAGGGATGTTTACAGGGAGCTGGTTCCTTAGGACACCAATGGCTGGGGGATAAACCCAGGCTGCCTGACTGCTGGCTGTTAGCAGTCATCCACCCACTGTCACTATTCCCACCCACTGCCACTATTCCTGCCCACTGCCACTATTCCCGCTCACTGCCACTATTCCCGCTCACTGCCATTATTCCCATCCACTGCTACTATTCCTATCCACTACTAGGTCCAGCTCAGGGTGCACATCGCCCAAGGGACCGACAAACCTTGGTTCCAGATGGGCCCTTGGACATTTTGCCACTTTGCCTCTTTCATTCCAGGACCATCCAGTGTCAGCCCAGTCACCAGAGCCTGGGAATGTTGCTGTCAAGGAATGAACACTTCTTCTTGGCTGCTGAGCCACTGCCAAGGCCCACTCAAAGCACAGAAATGGACAGGCCCTGTCATCTGCCTCCCCATCCACACCACACGGGAGGCTCCTCGTGCCACAGCCTGGGCAACAAAGCAAGACCCATCTCTACAGAAACCTGGCTATAGTCGGTCAATGTTACAGTGAGCCATGAAAGGCACCACTGCACTCTAGTCTGGGTGACAAGGTGAGACCCTATCTCTGAAAACTGAGTGAATAAAGATGGCTTCAGATGGGAATGGCTAGGAAAAGGAGACAGGGCTCTTGAGGGAAGAGACGAGGTGGGGGGCATTCAGGGGTAAGGCAGGGCATGGAGCTCCACAAGGTGAGCAGAGTGGCAGGCCCAGCTCCTGGGAGTGGACGGAGCTGAAGGGGGCTGCAGGATGAGGCAGGGCCCAAAGAGTGGGGGCACGCTCACTCGGGGAAACGTGGCAGCCCCCAGCCCTACGAGGCTGCATCTCAGCTCGGGCCAAGTTTCATCATCAGCCGGGGCAGGGGTCACAGCACAGGCGCCAGAGCCTCGGTGGAAGGCGACAGGCTGACGGGCCAAGCTTGGCGCTCTGGCCATCTGCCCTCTCTGGGGGTGAGGGGCTCAAGGCCAGGCCCCACCATTGGCTGGTGCAGAGGGGAGGGCTTCGGCCCAGCAGGGTAGGGCCAGGGGCTGGTCCTGTTTCCAGGAACTGCTGACACAGAGACCCCAGCCTCTCCTCCAACATAGGACACGTCCTTGACCCCAGCTCCCACTGCTCCACACCCTCATACACACCTAGGGCCTCAAACAGGACATTCATTCCTTAATTCCTCCATCCATCCAACCACTGGGTACTGGCTAGTGCAGCTGGCAGGGACCGCACACAGCAATGCGCACAACAGTGGAAAGGTGCCTTGTGGAGCTCGGCAGACCCCAGGCCCCATCCCCACTCCTGAGACGGACAGACACACAAGCAGACAAGGCGGGGGCCACATGGGGCCAGTTTATTGCAGTTAAATACCTCTCTCTCTCTCTATTTTTTTGTCGATTTTTCCATAAAGAAAATTAAAACACACACACACACACCAGGGGAGCAGGGACCCAGAAACAAGAGGTGGAGTGGGATGTTGCCACCCTGCATAGGTCCAGGCCCTGGGTGGCCCCCACCAAAGGCTCCCCTCCTTCCCATCAGCACCCTGTCTCAGTACCTCCAGAGACCAGGAGGCAGTGGGACGCAGCAGGGCCTCTGTCCCCCTCCCTCCTGCCTCCAGGTGAGACCACTAGAAGTGCCGGGGCTTAGTGAGGGCTGGGAGTAGGGCGACAGACAGACGGTGGGGAGGGAGGATACCGTTTCCAAGTGGAGGAGGGCGGTGGGCACTGTATCCACAGAAATGCATTATTTCTCCCCGTTTTTTTTGTTAAAAATCTACTATAAAAAAACGCAGCTGGGGGAGGGGCGTGTGTCCCTCTCTGTGCTAAGGGCTGGGGAAGGGGGCAGCAGAGGCCGGTGTGGGCGGCGGCGGCTACGCGGTGGCGGCGGACGTCACTGCCGGGTGCTCTCGCCCACCATCTCCAGGTTGTGCTGCTGCAGCTGGGCTCGAAGCAGGGCATTCTCATTCTTCAGCTCCTCGATCTGGCGGACACGACGGGGGACAAGGGAGTAGAGGGCCGGTGCCTGGCCTCTGGGGCTCCTGGGCCCTGACCCGCTCCAGGCCCGGCACCCACCTGCTGCCTCAGGAGCTCGTTGTCCATCTGCAGCCGCTCGGCCTCCTTGAAGGTCTCCTGCATTCGCTGGTTGGTCTGGCGCAGCTCCCGGATATAATCGCAGGCCTTGGACAGGATCCCTCCTTTACTCTGGGGGGCGAGGGGACCAGGAGCCTTAGGGCGGGCACCACCCACTGGCCCCCACCCCAGGACAACTCCTAAGCCCCATGGCAGTGGGACTTTCTGCGTGCAAGGGCTGGGGCCAGGCCCGCTGCAGCCCTAGGGTCCGCGGCGCTCACCGCTCCCGTCTTGCTGTTGTCTGCATTACAGTCTGGAATGATTTTCGAAAGTTGGACGATCCAGTTGTTGATCTTGTCCCTCCGCCTCCGCTCCACTGCGGGAAACAGCCACAGCCACGGCTTCGCTGACAGCGTTCGTGCCTGAGCGGCCATCCTCACAGGGCAGAGGCTCAGCCTGAGGACACCAAGGCACGGCGCAGGCCCCACCCAGACCACAGCCCTGGGAAGTGCAGGGCCACAACCTGAGCCCAGCCGGCCCCCACCCCAGCTTCTCAAGAGGAACAAGGAAAGCTGGGCCCTCCAGTGCCAGGACGGGCATCAAAGGCCAGGCACTTTGAGTTCATTTTGGGGGCCTGCCCGGCCATACTTGTACAAATTTGAATTGACAGTTAAAAATAAGGAAATTTCACATCGTAATTGGCATCGCTGGCCTCTTTGGAGAAATGGCGCTCTGGCCACAGTGGGCACATATCGGGAGGCAGGGATGGGCTGGGCTCCTCTTCGTAGGACCGGTGCCCTCTCTGGCTCCCGCAGCCCCTGCACTGGATTCTCCAGTCTCCCCAGAGAGCCCCAGAGACTCTGGGCCACGTGATTTTGTTTTTTTTCCCTCATCCCTAAGTCCAAGTCTGACCATGTTTCACCCCTGCTTAAAATCCTTCCACAGGGCAATGGCAGCTCCTAACTGGCACCTGTAGCTCGCGGGGCCTGGCTAACAGGGCATCAGCTCACCAAGGAGAGAGACAAACCCTATGCTGAAGGCCAGAGATGGCAACTCATAGAAGATTTTACTTTAAACACGCAGATTTGTGACTTGACTCGATAAAACTCCACAGTCTCACCCCAACTGTGTTGGCCGGGCGGCAGCCGCCCCAGACAGAGCACATCCCATCCTCATACCTGCCTGGGGTCTGTGTGTCCCAGAGCCTGAGACCCCTGGCTCAGGGCCTGCTTAAGGCAGGCTGTCCCAACCCTTCACCGCCTGCCAAGCCCCAGCACCAGACACCACAGGGACAGGAAAAAACGCTTAGCTACCCCCAACTCCCACCCTATGGACCCCAGCCCCCTGCCAGGGTGGCTCACGCTGTCTTCGGCATTTGTGGATGGGAATGGAGCCTATAGCTAGGGCGGATGTGGCAGGAAGGCCAGGGGTGTTTTCCAACCCTTGGGTAGTGGTGACAGGAAACCGAGCAGGGCTCTGGTGAGCGTGAGGAGGAGGAGTGGGCCACAGCCTGCCCATTACCCTCACACCCCAAGATCAGTAGCTCCCCGGCCCTGCCGTTCCCTCAAGAAGGCTGGGGCCCACCCACCGGCAAACCCCTCTGGCTTCTCTGGGCTGTGTCCACATGCTGCTGACCAGCCCCTCCCCGCCTCGAATGCCTCCCACTCAGGCCCAAGCAACAAACCCTCCGATGGACATGGACTCTCCCCTCCCACTGTGACCACTCTTCCCTGGCCCCTCTTCCACCCTCGTGCTCCTCTCTTTCCTCCAAAACCAATATCCCGAGATGAGTGCTCACTAGAGAACACGGTCCAGGCCCTGCGCGGGGCTCAGTGACGGCTTGCTCCACTATGACTGTCACAGAGAGCTGAACCCTCCCACCAGAGACAGCCACACCTGCCTGAGTAACTCTGTGGCCAAAAGCAGCAGTGGATCTGAGAGGCCAGGCCTGGAGGCACCGATGGCGCAGTCCCCAGCACAGCATTCCACACCCAGAGGTCCATGGAGGAACTCGGTAGATGGCCTCATTTCAGCCTCTGCCCTCCTGTGGTCCTCTCAAGGGCTGGGCACCAGATGCAGCTATATACTCTCCAGCACGCGATTACTTCTTAAATACCTACTGCCTGCCCTACTGTGTGCCAGGCCCTCTGCCAGGCCAGGGTCCAGGGTGGAAGCAGGCCTGGGGCACCCCGCTAGCACTCGCAGCACCACTGTGGGCAGGTGGCACTGACCCCATAGCATATGTGTCACCACTAAAGATGGTACAAAGTGCCTGGGGAGCCTGGAGAATGCCAGGTGCCAGGCCACGGCCTCTGCATGGGAACTGGGGTGGAACGAATCCTCAGAGATCCAGGAAACACTCAGGTTGGTTCTTGAGAAGAAGGGCTCTAAGAAACAAGAACAAAAAAGAAAAAAAAAAAAAAAGAAGGGCTCTAAGGCAGACAGGTGGGAAGATCCCAGAAATGGTAGCCTAAAAACACTGTGGCTGTGTGGGGGTGGGAAGAGCTTGTCAAGACCGGCTGGCAGGTCAGGACTGCATCTCTGGAGGCCCAGGCCCTTGGGTCTAGGCCCTGACTTTAGTAGGTGGTGATGCTGTCTAGCCTTTGGCTTCAGAAGACCATCAAGGCACATTAGAAATACAGGAAGGTCCACTAGGACCAAGGCCACGTCCATTCTGCAGAAGCACTTCAGTTACTCCATAGGACACTTAAAAACAAAATTCAGAGGCTGAATGGGGTGGCTTATGCCTGCAATCCCAGGACTTTGGGAGGCCATGGCAGGCAGATCACATGAGGCCAGGAGTTAGAGACCAGCCTGGCCAACGTGGCAAAACCCCATCTCTACTAAAAATGCAAAAGTTAGCCAGGCATAGCGGTGCATGCCTGTAGTCCCAGCTACTCAGGAGGCTGAGGCATGAGAATTGCTTGAACCCAGGAGGCGGAGGTTGCAGTGAGCCAAGACCGTGCCATTGCACTGCAGACTGGGTAACAGACCAAGACTCTGTCTCAAAAAAAAAAAAATTCAGAAGCAAAACCTGCCAGGACTGAAGGAAGAAATGGGCAAATCCACAAATATCAGGAGAGACATGGACACCTTTCTCAACAAACTGGTAGAACAATTAGACAAAAAAAATTCAGACAGAAAACCTGAACACTGGGCAAGGGCCACCCTTCAAGCAGGACATACATGCGCCAGAACACTGGGGGTTCCCACACCCCTTCCTATTCTTTTCTGAGACAGGGTTTGGCTCTGTTGCTCAGGCTGGAGCGTAATCTCGGCTCACTGCAACCTCCACCTCCCAGGCTCAAGCCATCCTCCCCCAGCAGCTTCCTGAGAAGCTGGGATTACAGGAATGCGCCACCAGGCCTGGCTAATTTTTTAAGTTTTTGGGTAGAGGAAGGGTTTCACCACATTGCCCAGATGGTCTCAAACTCCTGGGCTCAAGTGATCCACCCACCTTGGCCTCCCAAAAGGCTAGGATTACAGGCGTGAGCCACCACGCCCTACCATACGCCCCTTCCTGACATGCCACCTCCCTCCCTCAGGCCCCTGCAGGCATTGAGTTTGTGACTCTGGGATGAGCTGCTATGGTACCAAGAAGTGGTGGGAAGGAGGGAAAAAGAAGTGAGAGAAGCAGATCTGAAATTCGCTGCAGAACAGAAACTTGGGGATTGTGGCCGTAAGGGAAGAGGGCAGAGTTGAAAATGGCTCTGGTTTTAGCTTCCAGCTTGGGCAGCTGTGACAGGGGTAGCTTTTGCTGCTCTGGAAAGAGGAACATTACATGAGAGTGTTTGGAAGAGGGGAGATGGCACGTTCTGTTTTGGGCGAGTTGAATTTGAGGCATTGCAGGGATGTCCAGAGATGGAGATCTTGGACGGGTAGTTCAAAATGTGGGGTTGGAGTTCCAACAAGAGGAATGGAGTGGAAATACAGCTCTGTGCATTACCAGGAGCCAGCTGGTGGGCGAAGCCTGGGAGGACATCAAGAAACAGTCCTCAACTTTTTGTGAGTCACACACTCTTCTGGAGCAAAGAGAAAAGAGGAATACCTAAAGTGGGAACAGAATTTGGGGGATACTGACCAAAAGCTCCCAAGCCTACCCCTGGCCTCACATGTCATACACCTGAGGCAGACGGAAGAAGGGGCTGGACCTTAAGAAACACCAGCAAGACTGGGCATGGTATCTCAGGCCTGTAGCCAAGGCCGGAGGACTGCTTGAGCCAGAAGTTCAAGACAAGCCTGGGCAGCATAGCAAGACCTCCACTCTACAGATAAAAAATTACCCCATGTGATGGCGCCTGCCTGTGGTCCCAGCTACTCAGAAGCCTGAGGTGGGAGGATCGCTTGAGCCTGGAAGGTCAAGGCTGCAGTGAGCTGTGATTGTGCCACTGGACTCCAGCCTGGGTGACAGAGTGAGACCCCCCGCTTCTCAAAAAAAAAAAAAAGAAAAGAAACACCTGCAACGAAAGCAGTTTCTCAAACTAGTCCACTATGACAAATCACTTGAAGAGCAATCTGTGGAAAACAGATTCCCTGATGCTCCCATCTACTCCCTTGGAACTGGGAAAGCCCTGGAAATTTCATTATTAACAGTGGGGCAGGAGGGGCAAAGATCACAGGAGAATCAGAGGGTGGAGGTGAAAGGAAGATTCCAGAAAGGAACAGAGAGAAACAGGCAGCGTCAGATGCTTGGAGCCCAGACAGCAAAGGAGGCCAGTGGATGTGGCAACGGGGTCACCATGGGTGACCTGAAGTGGAGCTGTTTTGGTAGAGCAATGAGCCAGACGGCCGAGGGTACTGGGAGGATGAGCAGATGGGGGCAGATGTTCTAGAGGTCAGGAGAGCAGAGATGGGACAGGGCTGGAGAAGCGGGCAGGTGATGGAGACTGCTCCACTGGCTGAGAAACTCTCAAGGATGCCTAGAGTCAAATTAACTGAGAAAGAGATGGGGGTGAGAGTGGGGCGGGAAGGTCCTGAGTCTTCTCTTCAGCCTTACTGTGTGGCCACCATGACTCACTGCATCCCCGCCAGGCGCCAGGGGCAGCTGTGCTTCCAGCATTTCACAGACGGAGGACAGGCTCGGAGATTAAGAACCACCATGACGCTCCCCGACGGTAGGTAAGCGGTGAGGCTGGGGCTGCCCTGGGGGCCCCCTAAACTCAATGCATCCCAAAGCCAAGTTCAGATGCACCCCTTCCCTTCCAAGCACAGGAGTCCAGCAGGAAACCCTGACTCTCCAGCCTTGAAGTCCTCCCCTCATTTCCCTGCTCCCCTGCCCTGTCTCAGGCTTGACACCTACGTGGCCTCCTACCTCCCAGCCTCTTCCCACCAGCCTTGCCAGCAGCCTCCTTGCACAAACTCCTTGCACAAACCCCTCTGCTGGCTTCTCATCACCCTGGAATAAAACTGCAGGGGCCCAGACAGCCACACTGGGGACCTCTTCCAAGGTCCTCCACCATCTGGCCTGGGCAGCCCCCTCCATTGCACCGACTTCCTCTTTTCTTTCCTGAATTCTGCTCTTCTGCAGACACACCACGGTGGCCCCAGCTCAGGGCCTGGCCTGTGTCCTAGCTCTTCCCTCTGCCTGGGACTCTCCTAAGGTTCTCAACAGACCCTTTTTTCAGGTCCCTTCAGGCCTCTACTCAAATGTCACCTCTCAGAAAGCCCTTCAGGGCACACTGCCGTGCTGCCATCACCTGCCACCTCCTTCCCCAGCTTTCCAATTCTGCCTGTGGCTGCCCATGCTGCCTGACGCCTGCTGTGGTTGCATGACTTCCATCTCTTCCACCAGAATGCACAGAGAGCTCAGACCTCATCTGTCCTGTTACCCACCACACTGCCATATCTGATGCAAAACGGGGGCTGGCTGAACTACACACTGGCTGAATGAATGGCATGAACGTCTGAACTCAGAGGAACGGCTCAGAACACAACTACCTGGGCCACAGACCCCAGTCTCCTCGCCACCTTTAGGACTCAAGACTTACAGCCTCGCTCAGATATTCAAGGCCTTCCTGACCTTCCCAATCTTCCCTCCAGAGGCATTCCACATGGAACCTCTCCCACAACCAAACCAGCACCCCACAAAGCTATCTGACCCACGCTCCCCTCTTCCTGGGGATGCCTCACCCCAGCCCACCCCACATCAAAGTCCGGTGAAACTTAAGCCTTCGAGCCTCTCCGACACTCCAGGCCAGACTCCAGACCAGGCACAGGGCCCGTGCCACTCAGCCTGGAACCCACAGGCAGTAAATATTTATTGAATGATGGTTGTTTGGGTATAAACGCTCCCCTGGCACTTGCACACTGCAGTGGCTACTGACGGGGGTTGGGAGGGGGCGTGGGCAGGGGAGGACGGTGCTGACTGCCAAATGACCTGAGGTGAGACTTGGTGTTTCTGGAAAGGTAGGATGCTACAGCCTCAGGCAGCGCTTCACGCAGTTTCTCCCTCAGATGTGCTACCTGGGGGACCAGACCTACTTCTGGAGACCAGGCAGGCATAGGAATAAGGGATGTGAGCATGACAACTACCACGTGGAAAGGTCAGCCCAGGTGAACCCGGTCAGCCCCATTTTTCAAGCAGGCCAGGCAATTCAAATGGGAATGTGAACTCCCCCACCTTAGATGTGAGCCATGAATTCAAGATCACCAGCTGGGTCAGCACACACTCCCTGTTCACGGTCCCTGCCCCTCTACTCCTGACACTGTATTCTCCCTTCGTTGCTCATTTTCTACCTTTTTAGCGTCCAGCAAAGCCCTCCGGAGCACTTATGGCAGGCTTGGGCGACAGTGGCCTCCCTCTCTGTCACTCCACACCCCAGGTCTGGCTGAGCCTGTGAGGGTGGTGGTCAAGGGGGCCTGAAGCCCCACCTTGTCCTCACCTTCATTGTGCTGGGCTCTTCTCCTCTCATCTCGGGGTGTTCTGGTTCCATCGATTTTTCTAGAAGAGGAGGAAAGAAAAGTGGTCATGTATTATGGCAGATCTGTTTGCCCGAGCATCTGTTAAATATCAGACTTAAAAATTATCTTTGCAAGATAAATCCACAGGAAGAGAGAAAAAAGGTGATACTTTATGTGCACTAAAGAAACAGAAACAGGCAAAGAACAGAAAATATTACACCATGAACCCGCTTCATGCTAACTGCCCAGCTTCTACTCCAGAAACCCCTCCCTTCCTTTGGTTCCAATGCCAGGCCCTCCTGGTGTCCCCTGCACGTACGGAGAGTAGGGATGTGTCCGGGGGGCAATCGTCCTCTGTGTTCCTGTCTGAAGCACATCCTGGGGAGTCATCATGACATAGAACTGGCCTGCAGGGAATGGGGGATTAGTGGCACGAGAGGGCAAAGTCAGAACTGGTTGTGGGGGCTTCCCTCCCTGCTGGACCAGTTGCCTCCCCTGCCTGCCAACCTGGCTTCTTCCTCTCCTCACCTCCAGCCTGCAAGCTCTGGTCTGTGGTCTGTACAGACACAGCCGTAGTATCTCCCACACCGGACGCCGGGAAATAAGCAAATCGTGCCTCCCCGCTGACAGCCTCAGCTGCGGGGCTGCCACCATTGCTGAAGGGATTTTGGATCACAGCCTGGGGAGTAGGAGGACAGAAGCTACCCTTAGCTTTCTCTGTTCCCCCATCCCGTTCCCTCATTGCTGAGCTTGGGGTTTACTACATTTTCTGCAATTAGCAGAGGAGTGGAGACTCCGGCATGGAGCATTCGTCCTGTGTCTCAAACTGCCCTGGAACAGGCAGGAAGTTAGCAGTCATTTGCTAAGCAGTCTAAGAAACTTCCCTCCTAGACACATCATTCCCATTTTGCAGAAAAAAAAAATTCCAAGAGTACTGTTCCCCAGGTTTCACAGTGCACAACAGGGATCTGACACCACAAAACCTGAGGCCTGAGGGCAGCATCCACTGGGCGACACAGCATCCCACCCCCGGGGCTCCCCAAGAGCAGAGCCAATGTCCCCTCTCCACCCCCCAAGGGGTGGCAGGGCACCTACCAGCGGAAAGGGCGCCGCAGGACCTGGGGGCACAGAGGCAGCAGCGGGGCCTGGGCGCTGGGCTGCCCCGTCCACGCCCACCTGGGTCACAGCCTGCTGCCCCCCCGCGAAGGCAGCGGTGGATACGACGCTGACCGCGCCAGCCGTGTCACCCTGGCCGTCCAGCTGACCATCAGTCACCTGGACTACGCGGTATGTCACCTGCAGGGGGCGGCAGAGCGGCGAGGCCGGCGCTGGGGCCAGGTCCGAGCCTTCACCGCACGCTCGCCCGCCCGCCAGTTCCTCGCGGCCCGCAGCTCACCTGTCCTCCATTCGTCTCTGTGCGGAATTGGTACTGGATGTTGTGGTCGCCGAACGCCGCCTGCTGGACGCTGGTGATGGCCACCGCCGTCTGCTCCTCCGCCCCTGGGCCGTCCCCGCCTGGGGCAAAGGAGGGTCGGGGCACGGTCAGGGCCGTGCCTGGCGCCCCCAGCCCACCCCCGGCGCGGCCGGCCCGGCAAGCACTCACCTTCCTGCAGCTCGACGCCCTCCTCCGCCTCGGGTCCCTTGTCGTGGCTGCCAGGGGCACAGGAGGGAGCGGGGTCAGCGCAGCCCGCGCCCCCGCCCCCACGCCCAGCTGTGGGGCCCCAGTCCCGCCCGGCGGCACCTGGGGCCGGGGACGCCGCCGGGGCCGGGGTCCGGGGGCGGGAAGTGCCGGGTCCCCCCCGCGTCGGCGGCCTCCATTTTGAGCTGGGCCCGCGGCCGCTCGGGATCATGGCGGCCCGGCCTGCAGGCCGCGGGGCCGGGGCCGGGGCGCGGGGGCACCGCCCGGCTGGGGCTCTTACCTGGCGGCGGCAGCAGCGGTGGCCGAGGCAGCGGGATCCAGACCCGGGTCCAGCATGTCCATGGGGGGGGCGGGGGCGGGGGGGGCGCGGGGCCCGGGGGGGAGGGGAGGGGAGGGGAGGGAGGGAGGGGAGGGGGCGGGCGGCCGGGGGGGCCCCGAGCCCGGCGCTCACGCCGCGCGGCAGGAGGGGACGGAGGAGATACGGGAGCCGCTCGCGCTGATCACGGGGACAAACAGTGGGGTCATGTGAGGAGGAGATGCCGCCGCCGCAGCCGCAGCCGCCGCCGCTCCTGCAGCCGCTGCAGCCGCCGCCGCCTCCGCCTCTGCCCGCCCGCCGGCTCCGGGCGGCCCGAGGCTCCGGGACGCCGCGCGGCCGCCCCCAGCCCGCCCGCCCGCCCGCCCGCTACACGCGGCCCTCGGGCCTCCTTCCCTGAGCAGCCGCCGCCGCCGCGACTTTTTTTTTGAACACGGCCCGCCCTGGCTGGCCGCCGCCGGTGCCCTGGATCGCCGGCTCGCGTGGCCGCCGCCCGGCCTGGCCCAGTCCGGCGGCGGATCGCTGCTGCAGCCGCCGCCGCTTTCTATTTTTCCCCCTTTTTTTTTCCTCCTTTACTTGAGCTGCGCGCGCGCGGCGGCGGCGGCGGCGGCGGCGCGGGCCCGGGACGGACGCGCGCTGGGGGAGGCGGCCCGGGAGCGCGCGCGCTGTCTATCTCCGAGTGCGGGCGGGCGCGCGCGGTTCCAGGGTTCCGCGGGGCGCGAGGTCACCGCTCGCCGCCCGGGTGGAACGCGGGTCCAGATGGAACGTCGGGGGACCCGGAGCAGGGGCTTGGGTCGCTGGGGGCCAGGCGGGCTGCCCGGGATTGGAGACAGTAAAGTAGGTCGGTGGGAAGAGAGGGGGATGGGAGGAAGGGGAGGGGGCGCGCGCGCGCGCGCGCGAAGACGGAGGTCCTAGGCGCATGCGCACGTCTGGGCGGGGCCGGGGCGCGCACGTAGGCGGGCGGCGGCCGCTCCGGGCAAGTCCTCGGGCCGGTGGCGCGGGTGCAGGCTGGGTCAGGCTGTCTCTTCCTCTTGGCCCGGGATTCAGACGCCCCCAGGACGCGGCGCTTTACAGACACACACGGCAGCAGCCCCGGCCCCCCTCCCCGCGCGGCGGAACAAACGCTTCTCTTCAGACCGAGGCCTTGTGATTATACGTTTTATTAGACTTGGGCGGGGCAATGGTAGGGCTTCATCAATATTCCTTCAAATTAAAAAATAAAGTACAAAAGCTACGTAGAAAACGTCAGATCAGACGACTAAACTTTCCCGACTCAGGGCCAAGTTCTGCAAGGGAGAAAGGAAGAAGGGTATGAGCCGCGGGGACCGGCTGGGGACCCAGGGACGGTCTGGACGCTAGGAGGGGGGCGGCCCTCACCTTCTTGAGCCTGCGCTCGCGGGACGCCTGCGAGTCGGTCTCGGAGTACGGGGGTGGCGCGGGCGGATAGTAGGCCTCCTCCTCCTCCTCCTTGTAGGGTCTCCTCCTCTCCCCGGGCCCCTTCTTCCTCACGGCCTCTTCCAGTAGCCGCCCATCATAGGGGGGGTCCCCAGACCTGGAGCCGTTGTCCCGAGGGTCTCGGGTCCGTTGGTAGTGGGACCTAGGGTCAGCAGAGGGGCGCTCCCGGGAGCGTGGGAAGTCCCTCGAGTCGTCTTGGTCGTAGAGGTCGTCCCGGCTGCGGCTCCTCGGGGGCACGTAGGCCCGGCCTCTCCTCCCACCACTACTCGGGGGAGACCTGCTCCCTGACTCCACGGAGTTCGGCAGGGTGAGGTCGTCCAGGGCATCCACGGAGCGGGCCCGGGGCCGCCCGGCCAGCCAGCCCCCGCCTGGCTGCTCCCTGGGGTGCTCCCGCTCCCATCCCCTGGGACTCCGGGGGGCATGGCTACCCCACTCCTCATCCCGGATAGGGGTGAGGGCAGGGCCCCGGGAAGGCCGAGATCGCCAGTCGTCCTCATGGAGGGAGGTGACTTCACTCATGGCTGCAGGGAAGAGGGGTGTCACTGACTGCTGGAGGAGCCCAGGGTCCAGGGTTTTCACCAAGCATCCCTGGGGCAGGTATAAGGAGTCATGCTTCCCCCCACCCCACCTTAAAAGCCCTCAGATCCCAAAGCTGCTCCTCACCCCGCTCCACACGGCCATTCGGGGGGCCAGGTCGAGAAGGGTCGAAGTTGGCCAGCTCCTTCTCCATGTAGTACAGAACCCGCATGGAGTCATCTTGCTGGTTGGCCTGAATCCTGTAGCCACTTCGAACTTCTAGGGATAGGGTGGAGGTGGTTGGTTTGGGAGGATGGATCCTGGCCCAGCCCTCTCCCTTAGAGGTACATCCAACCTCGGGATGATGGATTCTCACCAGAAGCCGCACTGCTGTCTGTATCCCGAAGCAGGGGTATGTAGGATCCTTGGCCACCAGCTAGGGGAGAGTGGCTGTTGGTGGCTGCCCACCCAGAGCAGAGCTCCTCCTTAGCTCCCAAGACCCTCCTCCTTCCAGCTCCTGCCCCTCAGTGTCCAGATGCCCAGCACGCCCCCACCAGCTGTTCCTGCTCCCCCTGCTCACCTGAGCTACTCCTGTCAATGTCTCCAGGGTACCCTCCAGGGTACCCGTTGTAGCCACCCATGGGAATCATGGCTGGTGGGGGCGGGGTTTTGGCAGGAGACAGGTGGGCATAGGTGCTGGGGGCATAGATGCTGGGAACACCTGAAGTGGCTGCTTTGCCAGCAGCATACACTGCGAGGACAAAAATCAATATGAGAAGGTGGGCTGGGCAGAAGCCAGGCTGCCCCACACCCCATCAGGTTCCGGAGGGACCTGGGCCTGGACCTCCTTCCCAACTTGCCCTCTCCACTGTAGAGCTTCCCCGGGCATTTTGGTCCCTGCTGGTCCTCATTCCATTTCTGCAGCATCCCTGAGCCTAGGGGACACCAGCTTCACAGAGATCCCACCCCACTTCCTTGGTGATTTTTCAGAGGATACACACAGGTAGTTCACAGCCCCAGGGTGGCAGGACAGTGCTACATTTAACCTCATGGTGATTTGCCAACATTTGTCAAGCAAAAGGTTTTACCTAAAATTCCAACTCTCCAGCTAACTTACTGGAAGAAGTGGCCACCCAGGGCCTGTGTGTTTACAGTGCAACAAAGCTGCCCCTTTAGATAAAGCCCAAGTGCTGGGTCCACCACTGTCCCCACAAGTGGAAATCAAATATCTTCTTTGGTAGCCAAGCTCCTGCTCTAGAAAAAAAAATGAGTCAGCTGGGAGATGTAGGTCATGCCCACCAGGTCACCTTCCAGACCAAGATGCAATGGCAGGAGCCCGGAGTTAACTTGCCTGCCCAAGCAGCAAAGTGGCCACACCCACCAGGCTCTAGGCTTCACAGCTCAAGGTAAGATCCTCCTCCTCTCCTTTCTCCCCAGGGCAAAAGGCTTGCAAAGTTTCTGGGCCCTAGGTAAGTGGCTTCCTCCCTGGGACTCCAACAGGAAAAATGGCGGGGGGAGATGGGCTCCAGGAGGCCATTCACCTTTGATTTGGTTTGGAAGCAGAAGGCTAAGTGCACAGGAAGCCGCTTCATTAGCTCAAGCAGCCTGCAACTTCATAACCAGCAGTGGGACCTGCTGCCTCCTGACGGGTGGGCAAAGGCTGTGGCAGCAGCAGAAGTAACAGGGCCTCTGCCAGGGAGTTAATGGGGCCCCAGGTTGGGGTAACAGGGTCCTCGGATGGAGGAAATGTGGTGTTGGGATAGGGGAATGTGGCATGGGGACCAGCATTTGCAATCCTGGGCCTAGCTCTGGTCTTTGTGGGTTCACTGCAAACTTGGTCGCAGCCCATCTGTGAAATGGATCTAACACCCACTGCCTGAGCAAAGAGCTGTCAGCTAAACGCGACAAGAGGGAGGGGATGGAATGGCCTGCATAAGCCTCCAGGGAGCAGTGGAATTTTTTCAGGGAAGTGATCCTTTGAGGAACCAGGTCGCACACTACTGAGTTCAATGACTATAAAATCAGTCAGTGACTTCAAATGCTCACAACATCCCATAAAGTCGAGACCTTACAGAGAAGTAAACGGGATCGGAGAGGGAAGGCTACTTCTCCGGGGTCACTGTGCTGGCCCTGAGTCATTACTGAGGCTGACAGTGGCAGTGCCCAGCAGCTGGCAGGCATAGAATATTTTATATAGATCAGATCCCAGGCCCAATGCTATGCACGAGCTCACCAAACCCCCAGATGCACCCAGTATGATGAGCTCTGCCATAAGCCCAATTTTATAGGGGAAGACACTGAGCCTTAGGGAGGGAAATTGCTCACCAGGCTTCTGAGCAGGAAGGTTTCAAGCAGGCTTCAGCCCTCCACCTGCCCACGCTTGCAAGGATTGCCTGGTACTTCACTGTTCGTGTATCTTGGACTGCGTGCAGAGAGGCTGGTCTATCCAGACCCTCCCGAAGGAAACCAAGGACTGGCAATAGCTGTGGTCCCCGAGGAGGGGAAACAGGGCAGCAGCCCGAGGGACGCTGAAGTGTCCATCACTGCCACCTAGTGTACACCCTGGGGCTCTGGTGTCCCAAGGCTGATGGCTGTGACCATGTCTATCAGCTCCTCTGTGAAAATGTCCGATTGGGGTATTCACAGACATTCATAGAAGAGAGGCAGGAGCAAGTCTTTGTCAATTGCACGTCTGACTCATCTCAGAGTTAGGTCTCTGTCTCTCTCTCCCATCTTCTCTTACCTTCCCCTGCTTGGTTTGCTTACTTCCCCTTTAGCTCTAGTCCCCCAGGGAGTCCCAGCTTTCACAGGTACCCATGCTGATGTGGTAGATATGTCCCTAGACGTAGTAGCTGGGTAAAATGTGCAACATTCCTGTGGATATGTGTTTTCAAAAATTTGCTTACCTTTGGCTGGGTGTGATGGCTCACACCTGTAATCCTAGCACTTTGGGAGGCCAAGGTGGGCCTCCTGAGGTTAGGAGTTCAAGACCAGCCTGGCCAACATGTCAAAATTCCGCCTCTACTTAAAATACAAAAATTAGCCAGGTGTGATGGCAGGTGCCTATAATCCCAGCTACTCAGGAGGCTGAGGCAGGAGAATTGCTTAAACCGGGGGACAGAGGTTGAAGTAAGCCGAGATTGTGGCACTTCACTCCAGCTTGGGCAACAGAGTCAAACTTTGTCTCAAAAAAAATTTTTTTTGCTTAAATTTAAGGCCAGGCATGGTAGCTCATGACTATAATCCCATCACTTTGGGAGCCTGAGTCAGGATCACTTGAGATCAAGAGTTCAAGACCAGTCTGGGCAATGTAGCAAGACCCTGTCTCTACAAAAAAAATTTTAAACTGGCCAGCATGGTGGCACATGCCTGTAATCTCAGCACTTTGGGGAGGCTGGCATGGGAGGAGGATCACCTGAGGTCAGGAGTTTGAGATCAGGCTGGGCAACATAGTGAGACCCCTGTCTCTATAAAAAAAAAAAAAAAAAAAATCAAAAAATTAGCTGGGCATGGTGGTGTGTACCTACAGTCCCAGCTGCTCCAGAGGCTGAGGCAGGAGGATCGCCTGAACCCGGGAGTTCAAGGCTGTGGAGAGCTATGATCGCACTACTGCACTCCAGCTTGGATGACACAGTGAGGCCCTTTCTCTAAAAAAAATAAAATTTGCTTAAATCATATGGCGTTGTAAACCTTGATTTCTTACCTTTTTCACTTAAGATTTGTTTTATTATTACTTTTTCTGAGACGGAGCCTGGCTCTGTCGCCCAGGCTGCAGTGCAGTGGCGTGATCTCAGCTCACTGCAACCTCTACTTCCTGGGTTCAAGCTATTTTCCTGCCTCAGCCTCCTGAGTAGCTGGGGTTACAGGTGAACACCACCATGCCCGGCTAATTTTTGTATTTTTAGTAGAGACGGGGCTTTGCTATGTTGGCCAGGCTGATCTGGAACTCCTGACCTCAAGTGATCTGCCCACTTGGCCTCGCTAAGTGCTGGGATTACAGGCATGAGCCACTGTGCCTGGCGCCTAGATTTGGTTTTTAAAGAGGGCTTTACTTTTATATGAATAGTGTCTTGTACTGTTGGACATTTTTACCGTGTGTATGGATTATACTTCCAAAAGAAAAAACAACATGAATAAAAGCAAACTGGAAGTTGAAGGAAGTAAATGACAGTGGAAAGCAGCTCCCTCCTGAGTCTACATCCCCCTCTGGCTAGATTCACCCCCTCCAGACCAACACCACTGTCCTGGGCAGGCGGATGGCCACCTCCTCCCCTAGGACACAGCATGTTGCCCGAACCAGGGTGGCCGTGAGCGGGGCACTTACGGGCCTCGGGGCAGCAGCACTTTTCTGGGCAGCAGGGACACCTGACGTAGCAGCAGCAAGTGTGTGGGCAGCACTGACACCAGCAGATGCCCAGGAGAAGGAAGACGAGGAAGACAGCCAGGCACACCACAACCACGAAGAGCCAGTCTGCAGAGAGAGAACAGGCCCTGAGCCCGGAGGCCTGGGAGGGAACAGGGCCGATGGTATAGCAGCAGGGGCACATGGTGCAGGGCCAGCACTGAGATCGGGGACTGTTTGCAAAGCTCACCAAGGAAGCTGCAGCCCTGGGTGGATTCTCCATGCCAGAGGCTGGGCACAGCACATTCCCCCATCTAAAATCCCCATCAGTCCCCAAATTAGGGCCCTCCCCCAGGTGCAAATACACAAGGCAGAAAACAAGAGGCAGCTTGGCCAGAGGGAGACAGACTGTAGCCCCTAGACGAAAGAGAGAGCCAGCTGCCGAGACACCACACCTCCAAGAGCACCGCAGGTGCCAGTCACAGCCCCGGCCTGCACCCCAGGCTCTCCTCAGCCCAGCCCAGCACCAGGCCACTAGATGTCTCAGAGTCACAGGCCAGGTTAGTGAGGGGTCCACAGTGAGCAGGGTTTAGTGGGGAGGGGGATACTAACTAGAGTCAGAAGCAGTAGGTGATGTGTAGGAGCTCCTGAGGCCCCACTCAGGACCCACCCCCGTACCTTCCATGGGCCCCGCCTGAAAACCAGGTAAGAGCTCAGCTACCCCCGAGGTCCTCCCTAGAGGGATAAAAGAGAAACAGATTATGCTGGCCAGAGCCAGCCCAGGCCACGCCGCCCCAAAAGACCAGCTCCAGGCTGGCCAGGTGGAAGGTGCACCCTGAATCGGGGAGGGTCTGGTGGGGCTGAAGCCCTAGCACATGGCACCTACCCTCCACGGCCCAGATGTGGGTGCCCGTAGGTGAGAAACTCCCACTGCAAAATCCACCTGTGTCTCATGCCATGGGGGCTCCAGCACAGATCCCAGGGGGCTCTGAGGGCTCTACCTCAGCTTGGGTACCCTAAGTTTTCCTCATTTATAGGTCTTAGCACCCCAGAGGGCTCCAACCAAGGTGATAGGATGTCCTGTTCCAGCAGGCCCAGCGCCCTAGGACCCACAAAATAGAGACAGGATCTCAGCTCTGTCGCCCAGTCTGGAGTGCAGGGGTGCGATCATAGCTCACTTCAGCCTCAACCTCCTGGGCTCAAGCAATCCTCCCACCTTAGCCTCTAGCGTAAGTAGCTAGGACTAGTGGCATGTGCCACCACACCTGGCTGAAATGGTTTTTACAAATCTGAAAAAATTAATATTGAATATATAATAATGAACTATCTTTATGAAAACATAATCATAATTTTTTTTAAAAACAGGAAGGGACCTGTGAAGGCAAAAATGCCCACATATGAAAGTCACGTGGTCCTGTGTCTGGGACCCACGAGGTCTCCCTCTCCACTCATGCACTGTCATATTCGTGCATCTCAGACCCAGTTCTGTCTTCCCTCGAGTGGTGACGGCTCTGAGCCCCACCAGTGCTGTGTCTGAGGGGCCTCCACAGGCCCAGTTCTGACCCACGAAGCCCTCCCCAGAGCTCATGCACTTGGCACCACAGGCATTTGCAAAAGGACAGAGGCATGTCGGTGGTGGCTCTGAAAGCGTGGTCCTGTGTGCTAGGCCAGAAGAATGCTAAGAATAACACTAAGATGTTATTTGCCATTTTTACTTGTTCTGCCATGAATGTACAGTGGAGTTTCCCAGGCTCCCTGATGCCATCATTACCCTCATACCTAATGGACTACATACTGGTGTGTTTGTGTATGTGTATGTGTGTGTTTTCTTTCTTTTCTTTTTCCTGATATCCAGTATGTAGCTAAGTGTGTGTTTCCTTGAGCCAGGGTCTCTGTCCCCCATGCTAGAGTGCAGTAGCGCAATCACGGCTCACTGCAGCCTTAACCCTTGGGCTCAAAGTGATACTCCTGTCTCAGCCTCCCAAGAAACTGGGACCAGAGGTGCATGGCACCACACCTGGCTAATTTTTAAGTTTTTTTGTAGAGTCAGGGGTCTTGCCATGTTGCCCAGCCTTGCTTGTGTGTCCTGGGCTTGAAAAATTTCCTGATTTTCATTCCTAATACATTAAGCAACATATAGACATAAAACCCATAGAAACAAACAAAACTCTCAGAGCCCCTCAATAATTTTTTAGAGTGTAAATAGACCTGGAGACTAAATTTTGGGAACTGCTGATGCCAATGGTGCATTTGACCGAAGAACATGCTGAGGTTCCTGGGTCACTGTTAGACGTGTTCTACCCCTCACACATGAACTTTCAGCCCAAGTGCCTCCCAATCATGTGCTCATTCACAAATGTGAAGATGGCAGTATACAGCCTGGCAGCGTCATTCACGCAGAGCACATGCCACACGAGACTCTGTCTGTTGGCTTACAGCAGGGCACCTGGCCGATGGCAATGTCCCCCAGCACATAGAGGGAGGCTTCCCAGCCACAAGGATACCCCACCCTGCCCCTGGGTGTCTGGAGTTGGCCTTGTTTCAGCTGCACTCAAATTTACACACTCTCTGTGTGTGCCATGCAGCGCCATCCTAGCGGGGCACATGGCAAAGCCACTGTGCTTGGCAAGGGAATCAGGTAAGATAAGGCCCTGGGGATGGAGCAGGAAGTGGGGCCAATTTTGCACACAATTAAACTCATAGTGCCCATCGACTCTGACCATGTCTGGATTTTTTTTTTTTTTTTGACATAGAGTTTCACCCTGTCACCCAGGCGGGAGTGCAGTGGCGTGATCTTGGCTCACTGCAACCTCCACCTCCTGGGTTCAAGAAATCCTCATGCCTCAGCCTCCCAAGTAACTGGGATCACAGGCATGTGCACCATCATGCAAGTTATTTTTCATATTTTTTGTAGAGACAGGGTTTTGCCATGTTGGCCAGGCTGGCCTCGAACTCCTGGCCTCAAGTGATCCACCCTCCTTGGCTTCCCAGTGCTGGGGTTATAGGCATGAACTACCATACCCAGACCCCAAGTCTGGATTAAAAAAGAAAAAAATCAGACTTCAAAGAGGCAGAGTCTCCAGTTCTCTCCAGTCTTCTCTTTGTTTGGCTTGGCTGGTTGGAGGCACTGTGGGCCAGGGGTCCCTGCCTGGGGTGTAGGGCACGGGGGAGCCTAAGTGACTGGCAGAGCCCGGGGGACAGCAGAGCAGGCGACAGAGCCCAAGAGGGTAAGCTGATGGAGGGCAGAGGGTGGACACAGGAGGGCAGACAGAAGCGGACAAGATAAAGGGCTGTGCCTCCCCCTTCCCACACCCCACTCACCAAGGACGATGAGCTCTGCGTAGGCTTCGTTGTTCCCCTGGAGGTCCTGGGCTGAGACCACGGAGCAGTAATACACACCGCTGTCCCCCCACGCTGTCTGGTCAAAGGTCAGGTCAGCATCTGGGTCAGGATGAGAAGGCATGAAGGCACTTTAGCCCTTCCCAGCACCTCCAGGAGCGGGCAAGCGGCGGGCTGGGCAGGCTTCGGATGAGCAACTGCATATGCAAAGATTCCTACCAAGGCTGTGAGGCCTTTTATGCCCCGTTCTAAACACCTGGGCTACTGCAAGAAGTCTGAGAGGCGGGGCCATTATCACTCCTGTTTTGTGAGTCACACATCAGGTCTGGAAGAGCTGGATAGCTCTTCAGTATAGAGCAGTAATGGTGTCCTCAGAGCCTGAGGTTTTTTTTCTTTCTTTCTTTCTTTCAAGACAGTCTCACCCTGTGGTCCAGGCTGGAGGGCAGTGGTATAATTATTGCTCACTGCAGCTTTAACCTCCCGCACTCAAGCAATCCTCCCACCTCGGTCTCCAGAGTAGTTGGGACTACAGGCACACCTCGCCATGCCCAGCTTTTTCTGGCACGCAATGGCGCCATCCCATCTCAGCTCACTGCAATCTCCGCCTCCCAGAATCAAGCAATTCTCCTGCCTCAGACTTCCGTGCAGCTGGGATTACAGGTGTGCACCACCACACCCAGCTAATTTTTGCATTTCTAGTAGAGATGGGGTTTCACCATGTTGGCCAGGCTGGTCTCGAACCCTTGACCTCAGGTAGTCCGCCCACCTCAGCCTCCCAAGGTACTGGGATTACAGGCGTGAGCCACCACGCCCAGCCTATTTTTTTAGTTTTTATTTTTGTAAAGACAGAGTCTCGCTATGTTGCTCAGGCTGCTCTTGAACTCCTGGCCTCAAGTGATTGCCTGCCTTGGCCTCCCAAAGTGCTGGGATTACTGGCATGAGCCACCGCGTGGGTAGCCTGTGCTTCTCAACTTACACCCATCTCTGAACCACCTCTCAGAGCCAAAGTCTGAACTCCCCTAATGTGAACTGCCACCCACAGGGCCTAGTGTAGACCCCAGGGACGGGTGTGGAGATAAACAGGCCAGATTATAGATACCAGGAGACACCCAGGCATCCATAAGGAATGCGTATGTAGAGGGGAGAGACTTGGACTTACCCTCCCAGTGCCTTGGTCCCTCCCCCTCCCCTTTCATCCCCACATTCCAGGTCAGGCCCAGGGCTTGGGGACGCTAAGGTCTGAACCTGTAGGCAAGGAGCTTGTTCACTCTGCCATCCGTCAAAGTGTTTTGGCACATCCTGTTTCCTCTCTGCTCCTCAGGCCCTAATTAACACCTTCAGTCTTTCACCAGGTTAGGACTTGCCACCTACCAGGCAACTCTGCCTAGGCCACTGGGGAGTGGAGCAGTCTACGGGTGGGCGTCCACCCCGGCAGGAAATGCCCTCCGCTTCCCAGCCTCCTTCCTCCCAGCCTGACCTGCCTGCCACCTTCCCAAGGACACGCTGCCCTCCTGCACGACAGCTCTGTGACAGCAGCCACCATGTGTGCCCCAGTCCACAGCACCTGGCACCCCCAAGCCCGTCAGTCAGTAACTGCTGAAGGAATGAAAGAACCCTGACCTTCTTCCTTCTTCACGAGGAAGTTCGTTTTTATTTTTATTTTTGTCAAGACAGGGTCTTGCAACGTTGCTCAGGCGGCTGTTGAACTCCTGGCCTCAAGTGATCTGCCTGCCTTGGCCTCCCAAAGAGCTGGGATTACAGGTGTGAGTCATGTCTACAGAAAAGTCCTCCTTGCAACAGTGCCTGGCTACGGCATTCCAGACGCCTTCCCTAAGGTCCCAAGGTCCCCAAGGCCCTTGGCACGACATTGCCTCTAGCTACTGTGCCAACCTCGCCCTTGCCATCGCCTTGGCTCTGGATTCACACTATCCCCCACCATGGGCTGGGCTCCTGCCACAGCTTCCCAGCCCAACTGCTGAAATCTATCACCCAGCTTAGCGGCCAGCCATCCCTTCCCTGCTGAGAATGTGGGCTCCATGAGGCAGAGCCCTGTCTGTCTCAGTCACTGCTGGGTCCCCAGTGGCTGACACAATGCCTGGCTACGAGCAGAAATGAGCACCCTCTTGGCCAGGCACAGTGGCTAACACCTATAATTCCAGCACTTTGGGAGGCCAAAGCAGGCGGATCACTTGGGGCCGGGAGTTCAAGAGCAGCCTAAGCAACATAGCGAGACCCTGACTTTACAAAAACAAAAATAAAAACTAAAAAATAGGCTGGGCGCAGTGGCTCACACCTGTAATCCCAACACTTTGGAAGGCCGAGGCAGGTGGATCACTTCAGGTCAGGAGTTCGAGACCAGCCTGGCCATCATGGTTAAACCCTATCTACCAAAAATGTAAAAAAATTAGCCAGGCATGGTGGCACATGCCTGTAGTCCTAGCTACTTGGGAGGCTGAGGCAGGAGAATCACTTGAACCCGGGAGGTGCAGGTTGTAGTGAGCTGAGATTGTACCACTGCACTCCAGCCCGGGCAACAGAGCAAGACTCCTTCTCAAAAAAATAAATAAATAAATGAACCCCCTTCTCTCCTCATGCTGAAGTCCCTTAGCTTTCTTCATCTGTCCCATCATTCTGGGCACATGGCTATATTCAAAGACACATTTCATTCATTCGGTTGCCCTTCGACAATAATTACTGAGTGCCACCTACGTTCTAGGCAGTATTTGAGACACCTGGTATACCAGTCACAGTTCTCAAACTGCAGCCTCTAGACCCTGAGGTCAAAGTTGTTTTCCTAACAGTACTAACTGTGGAGTTTTCCAGAGCTTATGTGACATACGACAGACGTCACAACAGAGTGAAGCAGCTTTGAGAAGCCAGCCTCTTCTATCTAGCCAGGCTTCAGACACTTGCAAAAAAACAAAACCACACCACCTTCTCATTAACAATGTTTTGTCTGGTTTCAGGAAATGATTATTTTCTTTTCCTAAGAGATATGTTTATTTATGTTAATCTATGAATTTATTATTTAAATTATTTTGTAAACTTTTCTCAGTCTGCTACCTATGAAAACAAACTCTCTGAGCTTTTTTTTTTTTTTAAAGAGATGGAATCTCGCTCTGTTGCCCAGGCTGGAGGGCAGTGGTGCAATCTTGGTTCACTGCAGCCTCTGCCTCCTGGGTTCAAGCAATTCTCCTGCCTCAGCCTCCTGAGAAGCTGGGATTACAGGCACCCACCACCATCCCTGGCTAATTTTTGTATTTTTAGTAGAGACAGGGTTTTCACCATGTTGGCCAGGCCGGCCTGGAACTCCTGACCCGAAGTGATCTGCCACCCATCTGGGCCTCCCAAAGTGCTGGGATTCCAGGCACGAGCCACCGAGCTAGGCCTGAGCTCTTAATTAACTTCAAAATTAAGGATGTCAAGAGGTCTAAGCCCAAAACATCTGAGTTATAAATCCTTGCCCTTGCCCTTCTAGAGCTTAGATTCTAACTGGGAAAGAAAGACAGATAAAAAATATAACATTGTCACATATCAGACAGAGATAAGCTATATGGAGAAAACGAATCAGGGAGGGCAGACAGTGCCAGGCATGGAGTGGGGGCTGTGCTTCTTTAAACAAGGAGGCCAGGGCAGGCTTCCGGACATGGTGACCTTCAGAGCAGATGTGAAGGGGTAGAGGACACGACTTCCCCTCACGATCAGGCATCTACGCCACCATTTTTTTTTCTTTTTAAATTTTGAGACGGGATCTCCCTTTGTTGTCCAGGTTTACCCTGAACTCCTGGCTCAAGTGATCCACCTGCCTCAGCCTCCCAAAGTGCTGGGCTTACAGGCGTGAGCCACCGCCCCTGGCCCCCACCGTTTATTGAGCTCTTACTATGTGTTGGACCCCTCTGCACACATTCTTTCATTGAATCCTCATAGAATTCTTTTTCTTTTTTTTTTTTTCGCAGCCATCACCGCCCATGGCCACAGCAACGCAGCACCCAGGCCCGCATCAGGGGCCACACGGGCAGCAACAGCGGCTGAATCCTCATAGAATTCAGCCACTAAACTAGGTTTTCCTAAATCCTCCAGGTTTGCCATAATGCCCTCTTCATCTATCATTTTTCCACCTGTATCTTTTTTGAGAGGGCCTAGCTTTGTCGCCCAGGCTAGAGTGCAGTGGTGTGATCATGGCTCACTGCAACCTCGAACTCCTGGGCTCAAGCAATCCTCCCACCTCCAGAGTTGCTGGAACTACCGGGGTACACCATCACACCCCGCTAGTTTATTTTTTGTAGTGTCTGGGTCTTACTGTGTTGCCCAGGCTGGTTTCCCAACTCCTGTCCTCAAGCAGTCCTCCTACCTCGGCCTCCCAAAGCGCTGGGATTACAGGCATGAGCCACCAGTGTCTTCAGATCAGTCCCTGACTATGCTTCTCTAACACTGGAGCTCAAGGGCTGGTCCCTGCCGTAAGCAAAAGAGTGGACAGGAACCCCCTGCCATGGCAAACACATCATATAGGCCAGGGGTTGAAATCCGGCTTCTCATGGGCCGAGGCTGGACTTCACTATGTTTTGTTTGATCTGACATTTTCAAAACCCACAAAAAATATAGTTTTCCGGCTTCTTTTGATCCATCCTAAGGCCTGGGCGCACCTTCTTCCTGCAGGGCGGACCCTGTTCCTGGTCCTGGGCTGGCCCTGATATCACCCGGGCTGAGCACTGCTTTCATTGTTCTAGGCGCAGGGAGAAGATGCCAAGATGCCAGCTCTCCAGTGGGAATGGCAGCCAGGCCTCCTCTGCATCACCAACCTCTGGTTTCTTCTTTATACACCAGAAAGGTGTGACCTTCATGATTTCAGAGGTCCCGTGGGCTCTCTGCTCCAGTGAAGCTGGAGGTGGGGGCACTTGCACCCCAAGGAGCCTGAGGAGATAGAACAGGGCCTCCTGTCCAGATGCTAACCCATCACCCAAAGCATGGAAGGACGGAAGCAGGGCAGGAGCCACTTGAACTGAGGGATGCCTGGAGTGGACAGCCTTTTAGTTCACCCAGGACTATTTTCACTTTTAAAACCGGGACAGGCCAAGCGCAGTGGCTCAAGCCAGTAATCTCAGCATGGGAGGCCAAGGCAGGCAGATCATCTGAGGTCAGGAGTTTGAGACAAGCCTGGCCAACATGGCAAAATCCCGTCTCTACCAAAAAATACAAAAATTAGCCAGGCATGGCGGCACACACCTGTAGTCCCAGCTACTCAGGAGCCTGAGGCAGGAGAATCACTTGAACCTGGGAGGCGGAGGTTGCAGTGAGCTGAGATCACACCATTGCACTCCAGCCTGGGCGACAGAAAAACAAAACAAAACAGCACAGTGGGTGACACCACAGGGAGTCCACTTTTCCCCATCCTCAAAGCTGAAATGGAGGAAGCTCCTGTGGCTACGGGGTTTCCTGAAAGGACACACACACACAATGGATGTTTACACTCAGGGCTACTATCAAACATGGGCCCAGGTGGGGGCATCTGAAAGATCCAGGGCTGTGAGGCCCCTGGAGCCTGCAGAGCCCCTTCCCCCAGATGGAGCCTGGGGGGGTCATCCTGCACATTTGTGCCCAGCAGAGGCAGCACCCTCAGTATTTGGGTTGTCCTGGCAGAGCTGAGCAGTCCTGCCTGGTCCAGGCGGGCACACTCCCTGGGTTACAGAGGAAGGGGCCTACTGTGACCTCAGTGACAGCTGGATGCTCACGGCTGAGCTGCGCACAGAAATTCAGGGCAAGCAAGCCTTGTGCCTCCCCTGAAACAGGACTGACAGGCTCGGCCCTGGAACCTGGCCTCCTGTCTCTCCTCTAGCAGAATGTGCTCCAGTTCCTGGCCTCTCAGGGTCTGCAAAGGGATGCTCCCTCCCGCTCTGCCCTATGCCCAATTTTAAATCCTCGTTTAAGACAGTGAACACACACTAAGACATGGGGTAGGTGAGCCTTCATCCCTGGCACCCTGCCCCTCCTCTTCCTCTCCACCTTCCAGGTTCTGTAGAGCCCAGGTCCTTGTCAAATCATATTTGCAGCCCAAGTCATTCCATGTAGCACATCACCCAGTGCTATTTTCTTTTCTTTTTGAGACAGGATCTCACTCTGTCACCCAGGCTGGAATGCAGTGGCACGATCTAGCTCACTGAAACTTCGACCTCCTGGGACCGAGCAATCCTCCCACCTCAGCCTCATGAGCAGCTGGGACCACAGGTGCATGCCACCATGCCCAGCTAATTTTTAAAATTTTTACATGCTGGGCACGATGGCTCACACCTGTAATCCCAGCACTTTGGGAGGCTGAGGTGGGAGGATCACAAGGTCAGGAATTTGAGACCAGCCTGGCCAATATGATGAAACCCCGTCTCTATTAAAAGTACAAAAATTAGCTAGGTGTGGTGGTGCACACCTGTAGTCCCAGCTACTTAGGAGGCTGAGGCAGGAGAATCGCTTGAACCTGGGAGGCGGAGGTTTCAGTGAGCTGAGATCATACCACTGCACTCCAGCCTGGGCAACAGAGCAAGATTGCATCTCAAAACAAAAAAGTTTTTGCAGATACAGGGTCTCATTTTGTTGTTCAGGCTGGTCTCAAACTCAAGCAATCCTCCTGCCTTGGCCTCCCAAAGTGCTGAAATTTATAGGCATGAGCCACTGCACCCAGCCTGGTGTTATTTCCTTTGCAGCACTTAGCACTCTCTGAAATTCTCACTCTTTCTTTTTGAGATGAAGTCTTTTGTTGCTGTTGTTGCAGAAAAGTGATTTATTTAGGCAGAGAAAGAAAAAGGAGAAGGAGAGAGAAAGAAACAGCTAGCTCTCCCACTGAGTGAGAAGGGTTCCCAGAGCGAGAAAACCAGAGAAGGAAAACTCCCCTCACACTGAGTGAGAGAATTCAGAAAGTTGGAATCCAGGAGAGGAAAGACAGCTTCCACACTGGGTGGAAGGGGAGCCCAGAGGGGAAAGCCAGGAGAGAAGAGAGAGCTCCCACTATGTGGGAGGGGGGTTCCAGAGAGCTGGAAATTCCCCCCCCTTTTTTTTTTGAGACAGAGTCTCACTGTTGCCCAGGCTGGAGTATAATAGTGCGATCTTGGCTCACTGTAACCTCTACCTCCTGGGTTCACGTGATTCTCCTGCCTCAGCCTCCTGAGTAGCTGGGATTACAGGCATGCGCCCCCACAGCTGGCTCATTTTTGTATTGTAGAGATGGGGTTTCACCATATTGGCCAGGCTGGTCTCGAACTCCTGACCTCAGGTGATCCACCTGCCTCAGCCTCCCAAAGTGCTGAGATTACAGGCATGAGCCACCTCACCCAGACTTTGATATTCTCATATTCTTTATCTGCTTACTTATTGCCAGTCTCACCCCACCAGAATGTCACCTCCTTGAGGACAGAAACAGCCATCCCAGTCACCTCCTCTATTCCCAGCACCATCGACACATAGTAGATGCTTGATAAAATCCCAAATGCATGAATGAATGACTGTTCCTTACTTAGTCCCAACAGGCACTTCCTATCAGGAGGCAGCATTACGGTTAAGAACAAGGATTCTCAGGGCTGCCTGGGTTCAAACCCCAGCTCCAGACCTTGACTTCCCATGTGCCCATTTACACAACTTAACCTCTCTGTGCCTCAGCTGTCAGGAATGTAGAGGACTCAATGGGAGAATGTGTGTGATGTTCCTGGCACATCATGGGCTTTCTCCATTAAGATCTCTCGCCCCCACAGTTCACTCTTGCCACCTCCTCTGTGAGTCCTCTGCGGACCACCCTATGCAAGCAAAGGGATTAGGAGCTTGGCCACTAGACCCAAAGTGGCTGAGTTAGAATCCCAGCCCTGTTACCAGCTATGTGACCATAGGCAAGTCACTTTCTCTCTCTGGACCTCTGAAGATAACAATAATAGAATCTATTCAACTAGTGTGCGTCTGAGTTAATCCTCGGGAACCTGTATGAGAGCTTAGCACACAATAGGCCCTTTATAAGTTGTTACCTAGATAAATTTTACTTCTTACTGCCCATATTATTAATATGATTATAGAACAAACCCCAGCCTCCTCTCCATTTCCCAGTTTTCTTTATCTTCAAGCACGTGAGTGTATGTTGTGTCTGTCTCTCACTACAGTGTGGGCTCCGAGAGGGAAGTGGTTTGATGATTCCCAGGGCCCTGATATATGACAGATGCTCAAAAAATCTCTGTTGTTAAATTAAGGAATGGAAGGATAAGCAGAAGGAAGAATAGTAAAACAGAATTGCTCCCATCAGGCTGGGCGTGGTAGCTCACACCCGTTATCCCAGAACTTTGGGAGGCCAAGGCAGACAGATCATTTGAGGTCAGGAGTTTGAGGCCAGCCTGGCCATCATGAAATCCCATCTCGACTAAAAATACAAAAATTAGCCACGCATGGTGGCGCACACCTGGAGTCCCAGCTACACAGGTGACTGAGGCAGGAAAATCACTTGAACCTGGGAGACGGAGGTTGCAGTGAGCCGAGATCGCACCACTGCACTACAGCCTGGAGTCCAGAGTGAGACTCCATCTCAAAAACAACAACAAAAAAGAATTGCTGCTTTCATTGGTCCTTTCAGACACTGGCACTCAAGAGCTTTCAGATGGGGACTCCAGGATGGGTACAAGGGTGCCAGCCCCATCACCCGAGCAAGCCCAGCCTCACCCCCCTGGCCCAGCCCAACATACTTCCGGTGATGGTAATCCTCCGGCCCTGGTAGTAGTCTCCCAGGGTCACGGCATTGCCCTGCTTGGTGGCCACAACCCTGACAGTGCGCACGCTGTCCTGGCACTCCACATAGGGGTTGTAGCCTGGGTTCCCGGCTGCGAGCTGGGCATTGAGCTGGTTTTCCACACTGGCTGGGGAGAAGGCATCGGCGATTCGGTCCCGGCAGAAGGACTTGTACTTCCAGATGACGATGGGTGGCACGGAGGTCGAGGCCATCTGGTAGGTACAGGGCAGGGTCACAGGCTGGAAGAGGATCACCACGTGGTAGGGGTCGGGCACGGTCACCTGGATGGCCCTGGCAGGGGCTGAGGGCAAGAGGAGAGTCAGGGATTGCTGTGAGCTTGGGGAGGTGCTTTAACAGGAACACCACTTGTCACCAGCTTGACACTTGCAAGTGTGTGGTTTACAGAGTGCCTGGCACACATTGTTCCTTAATCCCCATGACTGGTGAGGCAGCCACGATAATCATGCCCATTTTATAGACCCGTGGGGCTGAAGTGGCAGGTACACAGTGGCACGGCCAGTTTCCTTGGACCCAACATCCCTCTTCCCAGCCTGTGGCCTCTGAACCATACCAGTCCCCTCTTCCCTTTGCCATTCACCCACAGCAGGGGACCTCTGTGTGGGCTGGGCAGGCAAGCCCAAATAGCTAGGTCATGCCCCCAGCACTCAAGGTCCCACTTCAAAACCGACTACCCAGAGTCTTTTGAATTTGGAGACAAAATCATAGAGTTGTTTGCCTGAATTGTGTTGCCATGGAGTCACTAAAGCCCCCACAATATCTCCATCAGCCTCCCACCACTTCACCCTACTCTAAAGTCACTTCAATTGACTGCCCCAAAAGTGCTGAAAAACCTCATCCCCACCCAAACATCCCATCCAGGTGAAAGCCTGCCAGCAGAAGTCTGTTTCAAGTCCCTAAATCCATCCTACCAGACTTTTACGCACGGATGGGGAGTCCCCAGTCCCACACCCACCCGAGGCCTGGGCACTGTTCCTTCGTCTCTCTCTCTCTCTAGGAAGCGTCTGATCCAGCCCTCCCGTGCCCTCTCTCCGTTACTCCAACACTTAGAAATCCCCGGGTGCGCCCAAGCCCCATCCCGGCTTTTCTTTACCCAGTGATCAGAGGCCCTCCACTCCCTCCCCACAAAGAGTTCCAGGCTCTCTGCTGCTCTGGGTCTCACCGTTCAGGGAGTTTCACTTCCTGCTATCTCCCAGATAAGGGCGGGGGAAGCGTTCCCAGGCACGGATGGGGAATTCCTCTCACTCTGGCACACACGAGTCCGCCCAAGACCCAGGGGATAGGAAGGTCCCAGGCTCTGCGACCCCCGCTCCCCGCGCCCCAGGCGCCCCCGCCGCCTCCAACTCCATCCATCCCCCCTCTACAGTGCCCTCAGCCGTTCCGCAGCGTCAGGGACCCCGTGCCCCGTACCTGTGCACCAGGTGCTAAGCAGGAGCCACACGAACACGACCGCGTCCCGGCCTGGCGTGGCCGGGTGGGAGCCCAGCCCACCTGAGAGTCCGCCGGCCACCAGCGCCATCGCCGCAGTCTGGTCGCGTCTGGCCCGCGCGTCCCTTCCCAAGTAGCGAGAGGGTAGGGGGCGCGGCGCGCACCAAGGCTAGGAGGGGTGCACGCTCCTCCCCTTCCCGCTTCCGTTCCTCGTCCCTACTCCAAGCCCATCCTGCCGCGTTCTAGAAGCTTTAATGAACATAAACGACGTGGATAAAGGGCACGCTTTCAGATTTGGGGGAGAAAAGTGCTTGACCCACCGCACTTCTCCGAGCCACTCCACCCGCTGCGCGCTCCGGGAAATGGTTCGGCCCAGGTACACAAGGGTGGGAGCCTTTGGCTGGGCTTAGGGGTGGGCGGCGGGGAGGGGCTCCTCTGCCTCCCTCCCCGGAAGTGGGCTGACCCAGGTGCGCTCCGGCCCTCAGGGCATGAACCAAGTGACTGGCCCGCTGGGAGGGCGCCTGCAGACCACAGGCCCTGTCCGCCCCTCGCCTGCTCTGGCCAAACCAAGCGCACCGAGATTCACGAAACCGAGACCCACTTGGAGCGATTCACCTGTTGAGATAGGGCGGGTCCCGCAGCGCACCTGTTCCCTCCCTACCCACACCCCTCTCCCCGGCTGGCGATGGACCCGCCTAGGTGCGCCCTGCCGGGAGGAGCCAGCCTAAGCAAAGTCCTGGCTAGGAGAGGCTTGTTGGTGGCGCCTGACTTCTCCGCTCCCACTGGGGTTCCTCCGGATGGTGTGGAGTGGGGGGCGCTTCGGGCCTCTTGCGCCTCCCAGTTAGATGACCTGAGGAACCCTCTGAATTCCCCGGAAGGGAAGCTCTGCCCCCTCAAGGACGCTCGAGGGGAATCAGGCCCTGGAAAAGTTGGAATTCCACTTCGGAAGTTTTCGCCATCGCCCCCACCCGTTCCCAACTCGTGGTTCGGCCCCTGGGCATCCCTACCCACCAAGGTCAGCCCTCCGGAAATTCTGGCTCTTAAAGGGGCCGAGCGGAGGCGCGGGGCCTGGGACGGGTTTCCGCTTAGGAATTCCCGGGGACCAGCCACCTGCACCCGAGGGCGGAGGCGCGGCGCGGCGATCAGCCTGCGCGGCGCTGGGCGCGACTCTGCTGTCTCCAGGTGGCGGCGAGGGGAAGCGCATCCTGGGGGAACCCTGGGCGCTTTCTCCCTTAGACTCCTCCCTGTCGCCAACTGGCCACTGGCTGGTTTCCGTACCAAGGCATGTTTTGTTCTAATGGCCCCGTTAAAACTCCAGCCAGATCACGTCCACCTGCTCCCAACCCTCCTGTGGCTCCTCCTTACTCTCAGCAGAAACTGACCTTTCCTCTCTTACCTCACCTCCTCCCACTCACTCTGGCTTACTCAGCGTCCGACACACTGAGCTCCTCGGTGTTCTCAAATTTGCTTCTCACAGCCCTCAGAGCCATCGCCCGTGCTTCCAATGTTTCACCATTGAGTATGATGTTAGCTGTGAGTTTTCCATAAATACTTTTTTTTTAAATATAAAGACGGTTTCACCATGTTGGTCAGGCTGGTCTTGAACTCCCGACCTCAGGTGATCCACCCGCCTTGGCCTCCAAAGTGCTTGGATTACAGGCGTGAGCCACCATGCCCGGCCTTTCATAAATACTCTTTATCACATTGAGGAATTTTCCCTGTATGATTAATTTTCTGGGTTTTTTTGTTTGTTTTTTGAGACGGAGTCTTGCTCTATTGCTCAGGCTGGAGTGCAGTGGCACGATCTCACCTCACTGCAACCTTGGTCTCCCAGATTCAAGAGATTCTCCTGCCTCAACCTCCTGAGTAGCTGGGACTACAGGCATGCGCCACCATGCCCAGCTAATTTTTTTTTTTTTTTTTTTTTTTTTTTTTTGAGACGGAGTTTTGCTCTTGTTACCCAGGCTGGAGTGCAATGGCGCTATCTCGGCTCACCGCAGCCTCCGCCTCCTGGATTCAGGCAATTCTCCTGCCTCAGCCTCCCGAGTAGCTGGGATTACAGGCACGCGCCACCATGCCCAGCTAATTTTTTGTATTTTTAGTAGAGACAGGGTTTCACCATGTTGACCAGGATGGTCTCGATCTCTTGACCTCGTGATCTACCCACCTCGGCCTCCCAAAGTGCTGGGATTACAGGCTTGAGCCACCACGCCCGGCCCTAATTTTTGTATTTTTAATAGAGACAGGGTTTCACCATATTGGTCAGTCTGGTCTTGAACTCTTGGCCTCATGATCTGCCCCCCTTGGCCTCCCGACTTGCTGGGATTACAGGTGTGAGCCACTGTGCCTGGCAGTTTTCTATTTTTTTGTTTTGGTTTTTTTAAAATCATGAAGGTGTGTTGAATTTTGTCAAATGCCTTTTCTGTATTAATTGAGATGATCATGTGTGTTTTTTTCCTTCATTCTACTAATGTGATGTATTACATTGATTTCTTATGTTGAACCACCCTTGCATTCCTTCATAAATCATACTTGGACATGGCAAGTAATCCTTTTAATATGCTAATGGATTTGATTTGCCAATATTTCGTTGAGGATTTTTGCATCCATATTCATAAGAGATATTAGTCTGTAATTTTCTTTTCTTATGATGTCTTTTTTTTTTTTCCTTGTGATGTCTTTATTTGGCTTTGGTATTATGGATATACCAGCTGCATAGAGTGAGTTAGGAAGTGTTTCCTTCCCATCAATGTTTTAGAAGTTTGAAAATGATTCGTGTGAATTCTTCTTTAAATGTTTGGTTGAACTAACTCATGAACCATCTGGTCTAAGACGTTTCTTTCCTAGGTGGTTCTTTGCTATGTAGAAGACATGGCTGGTTACACCAAATCAGCATTCTTTTCTACAACTCTCCTGCATTCAAAACCCTGATTTCATTTTGGTCTGCAATGGCTTTTCTGGTAAGAAAAAGCTGACCTTACCCAATCCTAGGAACAAGAGCTGGTCATGGGCCCCAATCCTGGCCAATAGAACGTTAGGACAGAACTGATGTGAGGATTTTGGAAATCGTTTTAGCTCTATGATACAAAGGAAAATACCAGAGGAAAAACTCCTGTAATAGACATTAGCCATAGAAATCATTACTGCCACTTGCCAAAAGTTTCCATTTCTTTTGGTGGATTGGTGGTGCCATGTAGCCGTTTCTGTCCAATGGTTTGTGAGCAAGTGACATGGCATATGCCACTTAAGGGCAGAGCATTTAATGTAGACCTGAAATCCTTCAGAGATCTCTTTCTTTCTCCTTGGAAGAAACTGAAAATGTTTGAGATGGCAGTTGCTCCATCACCCTGGATCCCTGAGTGATTCTGATACCAGTGCACAATGAATAAGAAGCATGAGTAAGAAGGAAACCTTTCTTGTTTTATGTTATTGAGATCTGGGGGGAGTTGTTTTCGTTTTTGTTTCTTTGAGACAGAGTTTCACTCTGTTGCCCAGGCTGGAATGCAGTAGCGCCATCTCAGCTCACTACAACCTCTGCCTCCCGGGTTCAAGTGATCTTCCTGTCTCAGCCTCCCAAGTAGCTGGGGCTGCAGGTGTATGCCATCACACCCGGCTAATTTTTGTATTTTTCGTAGAGACAGGGTTTCGCCATGTTGGCCAGGCTGGTCTTGAACTCCTGACCTCAAGTGATCCGCCCGCCTCAGCCTCCCGAAGTGCTGGGATTGCAGGTGTGAACCACTGCACCTGACCTCTTCTTCCTCTTTCTACTGGTCATAAAGTCGTTTTGTCCCATTCCATCATTAAATACTGGGTATGTGGAAGGCCAATAATTTGCCTTTGTAGTTTGCTTGTTTTGATTTAGGCTTACCCATTTTGTCCAGCTCCTGTGGATATTTGACCTTCGACTCTACAACCTGTGACAAGCCACTTGATGACATGAACTGAATTGCACTCCTGAAAGCACCGTGGAACAAGGTTCATTCCATTGGCTGGGCTGATCCAAGTTCTGTGAGTGACTGCACAGTGCCCAGGGAGTTCCTAGCCTCCTTCCTCAGCCGTGGTCCGCCATGCTGGACACCCTGTGTCTGCTTAGCCTTTCTTGCTCCACTCTGTGGGCCCAGATGTTAATCAGCTATGCCTACGAGACCCTCTGCCAGCAAGCCCTCCTCTCGGGCAATGACGTCCTGAAGTGTGACCATCCCATGGTACTCTGGTACTTCTCTTCCATTCAGGGGGAAGATCCTTCTCTGCTGAATTCAGTGCCTTACATAAGGCAAGTGCCTGGAGGCAGCCTCCAATTGACCAAGCCTCAGCCCTCCCAGACGGGCCTCTGTCGCTGCCAGGGCATTGATGATACCCTCGTGGTAGAATACGAAATCGACTTCCAGGACGTCACCACCGTTCATGTTACGCACAAGAACCCGAACCAAAAACGCTTACAGAATGAGACCCTGAGCCTGGGTGGTGAGGTACTTGTCTTTACCCACTGGGACCCCTGGCAGGACTGTAACCGCTGCAGGGAACCAGGTGAGCGCAAACGCCTGGGGTACTGCTACCTTCAAGAGCCCCTGGAAAATCCCATGCCCTGCCAGCTGTATCTGAGAGACGAGAAGATGCAATTCAGCTGCATGCGGCCAGAACTGCAGGTGGAAGCCTGCCACGTACCCTGCAACCCCGTCAAGGAATTCACCAGCCATACTTCATCTATGACATTGCCCAGACCGGCAAGGGGACGAACAACATGTGGCTCACCTTCCCCTCGGCCTCCATCTACAGGTGACAGGACCAGGGCCATAGCCCTGCCTTTGACCCTCACCCAGGCTTTCTTTTCCATGCTCACCTGGGCTCCAGGGTTACCTTCCAACAGAAACCAGGCTCCTTCTCCCAGCCTCTAAGCCTTCATGGTGGGTCTGTGCAGGAAAGGATCTCTTCATTGGCTTGCTGAAATTTGCATTCAGGAAGAATTTCCCGGTGTTTCCTCTGAGTGTGCCCTGGGCAGGTGATGTTAGGGATACAGAAATGACTAAGAAAGACCTACTTCTTGTATGAACAGACTTCTGCTATTCAGGGGGAGGCCAAATGTAGAATCTAGAGACCAACCTACTCAGGCCCATGGGCTCACGCCAGTGCAGATGTGATTTCTGCCTCCTGATCGGACCCTGGGGGATACAATTTATCTATCCATCCTTGCCCCAGTGCTACAGTGTCTCTTTTGTTTGTTTTTTGTTTGTTTGTTTGTTTTGTTTTGTTTGAAATGCAGTCTTGCTCTGTCACCCAGGCTGGAGTGCAGTGGCACAATCTCAGCTCACTGCAACCTCCATCTCCTGAGTTCAAGCGATTCTCCTATCTCAGCCTCCCAAGTAGCTGGGATTACAGGCACCTGCCACCAGGCCTGGCTAATTTTTGTATTTTTAGTAGAGATAGGGTCTCACTGTGTTGGCCAGTCTGGACTCAAACTCCTGACCTCAAGTGACCTGCCCTCCTCAGCCTCCTGAAGTGCTGAGATTACAGACATAAGCCACCATACACGGCCCATAGTGTCTTGTTATACCTTTCAGTTAGTCATGATATGTGGTAATGTGTCCCAACTTTGTTCTTCACAATTGTCTTGGTTATTCTTGGCCCATTGTATACAAAATTTTGGAATCAGTTTGTTGTTTCCACCCAACTCTTTTTTTTAAATAGGGACTTTATTGAATCTAAATATAAATTTGGGGATAATCAATATATATTCAGTCTTTAGTCTTCCAGTCAATGAATGTGGCAAAGACTTCCATTAGTTAGTCTTTTTTATTTATTTATTTATTTTTGAGACGGAGTTTCACTCTTGTTACCCAGGCTGGAGTGCAATGGTGTGATCTCGGCTCACCGCAACCTCCGCCTTCTAGGTTCAAGCAATTCTCCTGCCTCAGCCTCCCGAGTAGCTGGGACTACAGGCGCGCACCACCACGCCCAGCTAATTTTTGTATTTTTAGTAGAGATGGGGTTTCACCTCATTGACCAGGATGGTCTCGATCTGTTGACCTCATGATCCACCCACCTCGGCCTCCCAAAGTGCTGGGACTACAGGTGTGAGCCACCACGCCCGGCCCCATTAGTTAGTCTTTAATTTCTCTCAATAATGTGAAGTTATTAATGTAGAGGACTCATATCTTTTATTATATTTATTCCTAGGTGTTTATATTTTTCATACTATCAAACACTGATCCTTTTCATTTCATCTTTTAATTCTTTGTTGCTTGTATATAAATCATATTTAATATATGACCATGTATCTAATTTTTCACTTGTATCTTACCTCCAGTAAAATGCTGAGTGGAAAAGGTGATGGCAGAAATACTTGTGTTATTCTCAGTGTTTTACTATGAAGCATAATTTAGCCATAGGTGGTTTTTTGTTTTGTTTTTGTTTTTTGTTTTTTGAGACAGGGTCTCACTCTGTCACCCAGGCTGGAGCGCAATGGTACAATCTCGGCTCACTGCAACCTTTGCCTCCCATGTTCAAATGATTCTCCTGCCTCAGCCTCCCAAGTAGCTAAGACTGCAGGTGCCCGCCACCAGACCTGGCTAATGTTTGTATTTTTAGTAGAGACAGGGTTTCGCCATTTTGGTTTCAAACTCCTGACCTCGGCGGATCCACCCGCCTCAGCCTCCTGAAGTGCTGGGATTACATGTGTGAGCCACTGCACCTGCCCTGCCCTAGGTTTTTAATAGAAACACTTTATCTTCTTAGAAAATTTCCTTTTGTTCCTAGTTTGCCAAAAGTTTTGAGCCATAAATGAATGTCGAGTTTTATCAGATGCTTTTTCTGTATCTACTGAGATAATAATATGGTTTTTCTCCCTGATTCTGTTAATGTGAATTACATTGATTGATGTTCAAATATAAACCCAAATTTGCCTGCCTGAAATAACCTAATTTGGTCTTTATATTTATTCTCGTGTATAGAAAATCTCTGGAATCCATTTGCTAATATTTTCTTTGGGATACTATGTCTACGTTTGTGAAAGAGATTGACCGGAGCTTTTCCTTGTTGTAATGCCCTTGTAAGGCTTTTGTATAAGGTGATGCAAGTCTCCTAGAAGTGTTCCATCTTTTTCTATTTTGGGAAAAGTTTGGAAGATCAATCTAATTTATTTTATTTTATTTTATTTTGAGGCCGGGTCTCTGTCACCAAGGCTGGAGTGCAGTGGTGCAATCTGCACTCACTGCAACCTCTGCCTCCTGGGTTCAAGCGATTCTCCTGCCTCAACCGCCAGACTAGCTGGGATTACAGATGCTCACCACCACACCTGGCCAATTTTCATATTTTTAGTAGAGGTGGGCTTTCATCTCTACTAAAAGATCCCAGGCTGGTCTTTTTTTTTTTTTTTTTTTTTTTTGAGATGGATTCTTGCTCTGTCTCCAGGCTGGAGTGCAGCAGCATGAACTTGGCTCACTGCAATCTCTGCCTCCCGGGTTCAAGCAATTCCCCTGCTTCAGCCTCCCGAGTAGCTGGGACAAGCCAGGCACGCACCACCACGCCCGGCTAATATTTGTATTTTAGTAGAGACACGGTTTCACTACGTTGGCCAGGCTAGTCTCGAACTCCTGACCTCAGGTAATCCACCCACCTCGGCCTCCCACAGTGCTGGAATTACAGGCGTGAGCCACTGTGCCCGGCCCCAGAGACAATTTGTTTACTACTTTATCCCCAGTGCTAGTAAGAGTTCAGGAAATACGTGATGAATGTTCACACGTGACACTTTCATGCTCTTGTTCCATCCTTGGGAATGTAGTCTCACCCTTGGGAAAGGAAGGGAGGCAGATGGTGGAGAACACTCTGAATAGACAAATTAAGTTTGCTCCTTTCCCAGAAAAATGGAAGGCTTGGAATAGAAATTAAGTGCGGTTGGTGGGGCACAGTGGCTCACTCCTGTAATCCCAGCACTTTGGGAGGCTAAGGTGGGAGGATCACAAAGTCAGGAGTTCAAGACCAGTCTGGCCAACATGGCAAAAACCCGTCTCTACTAAAAATATAAAAATTAGCCAGGCATGGTGGTGGGCACCTGTAGTCCCAGCTACTCAGGAGGCTGAGGCCGGACAATCGCTTGAATCAGGGAGGCAGAGATTGCAGTGAGCTGAGATCGCATCACTGCACTCCAGCCTGGGCAACAAGAGCAAAATTCTCTCTCTCAAAAAAAAAAAAAAAATGTAGTGTTGTCAGCTTGTCACAAAACAAAAGGGGATGGTGACCTCACACACCCATGGGGTGGCCTGCAGTTCATCCTGCTGCCCAGGGCTGAGGCCAGAGTTCATGGGTGACCTCACAATGTCCAGGGTGGCACCTGCCCCCTGCCACAGCCCCAGTCTGCCATGCCACCCATGCTGTGGCTGCTGCTCCAGGTTGCTGCCCCAGCGCTGGGGTTCTACTTTTCCATCAGCTGCCCCAGCGGTAACCAGTGCCAACAGGCCCTCCTCTCCGGCAATGATATTCTCTTGTACTGCAACTCCTCGGGGGCACACTGGTACTACTTATTCACACGAGGCGAGAAGGGCACGCTCACCAGCCTCACCAATATTTCCAATATGGAAATAATGCCTGAGGGCAGCCTTCTCATTAAAGATCCATTGCCCTCCCAGACGGGTCTCTACCACTGCTGGAACAACAATGATCGCCAAGTGGTGCAGTATGAGATTGACTTCCAGGATGTCGCCACCCTGCATGTAACACACAAGGGCCTGGGTCAGAGACCCCTGGAGAACCAGACCCTGCATCTGGGCGGCGAAGAACTCATTTTTACCCGGTGGGAGCCCTGGCAGGACTGCAACCACTGCGAGGGGCCTGGCGAGCGTAAGCGCCTGGGGTACTGCTATATTGAGGAGCATCTGGAGGAAGCCATGCCCTGCTGGCTCTATCTGGGAGACGTGCAGGTGTGGTCCAGCCGCTTGCGGCCTGAGCTGCAGGTGGAGGCCTGCCACGTCCAGTGCACCAACAACACACAGTTAAAGATGAATTACGTCATTTTTGACAGCTTCAGGCTTGATGAGGAGACAGAATTTGTGTGGCTCAGCTGTCCCTTAGGATCCATCTACAGGTGATGGAATCCCTGCCTCTGGCCCCTAGCTAGGTTCTTCCGGTCGGGGGATCCTTCATGGTAATATGTGCAGAGGGGCGAGGGGGTGTTCTATGCAGGTCAGCCCTGCAGTGGTCATCAGGACAGTGCCAGGTCCTGTCTTAAACAGTCCAAGGGGGAGACAGCCCAGGGGGTGCGAGCAGGGATGCAAGAAACCCAGGCAGAAGGATGGGGCTGTGATGGGGAAAGCGCAGGAAGCTTAGGGGCTCCAACAGGCCCCTGCCTCATCTGGGAAGGTCAGAGGAGACCCTGGAGGAGAGGCTGGTGCCCCCAGGGCTTCCCATCAAGGTCTGCCTCCCAGAACTGACACTCGTCTTCTTGCTTCCTGCCAGGAGCCAAGGAAAATCCCTCCTTCCTCTACTCTTCCCCAATCCACCTGCCACTTAATAAGAAATGCAGGCCACGCATGGTGGCTCATGCCTGTAATCGTAGCAGTTTGGGAGGCCGAGGCAGGCAGATCACCTGAGGTCGGGAGTTCGAGACCAGCCTGGCCAACATGGTGAAACCCCGTCTCTAGTAAAAATACAAAAATTAGGCAGGCGTGGTGGCAGGTGCCTATAATCCCAGCTACTCAGGAGGCTGAGGCAGGAGAATCACTCTAACCTGGGAGGCAGAGGTTCCAGTGAGCTGAGATCATGCCACTGCACTCCAGCCTAGGCGACAGAGCAAGACTCTGTCTCAAAAAAAAAAGAAAAAGAAAAACACAATTCCGAAGTGCAGGAAAGTGGATGTGAACCCTCTTGCCATCTATTCAGGGGCACCTACTCCATACCACTTGCCACAAAAGGAGCTCCGGAGTGCAAGTCGCAGGGACCTTGAGATAGGAATAGAGGGAGGTCGCTGTGGAATCTAAGGAGGCCCATGGGGTGGCATTTCTCATATTTCTCGTGAGGTTTCTGTATGGGGGCTCTGGACTCAGCCAGGCTTGGGTTTCAATCTCAACTCTGCCAGTTTCCAGCTGCGCAACTTTGGCCTCAGTTTCCTCATCTGTGGAATGGGGTTGTCTTAGATTCCTAGGGCTGCCGTAACAAAGCACCACAAACTGTGCGGCTTAAAACAACAGAAATTTGCCAGGCATGGTGGCTCATGCCTGTAATCCCAGCAGTTTGGGAGGCTAAGGCAGGCAGATTGCTTAAGGTCAGGAGTTTGAGACCAGCCTGGCCAACATAGTGAAACCCCCATCTCTACTAAAAATACAAAAATTATCCAGGACGTGGTGTTGGGCACCTGCAATCTCAGTAACTCAGGAGGCTGAGGCACAACAATAGCTTGAACCCAAGACGGAGAGTTTGCAGTGAGGGGAGATTGCACCACTGCACTCCAGCCTGGGCAACAGTGTGAGACTCCCACTAAAAAAAAGAAAGAAAGAAAGAAAACCTCAAAAATTCATTGTCTCATCCTTCTGGAGGCTGGGAGTCTGAAACCAAGGTGTCAGTAGAACCATGCTCCTTCTGAGTCCCTCCGAGTGGCTCCCTCCCCTTTTCCTGGCTTCTGGATGCAGTCAGAGATGCCCAGCTTCTCTGGCTTGTGGCTGCTTCTCTCAATGCCCATCATCACTTGGCATTCTTCCTGGTGTCTATGTCCCTGTGTCTTTTCTCCTTTTCTTTCTCTTATTTATTTATTTATTTTGAGATAGAGTCTCGCTCTGTCTCCCAGGCTGGAGTGCCATGTCGTGATCTCAGCTCATTACAACCTCCGCCTCCTGGGTTCAAACAATTCTCCTGTCTTAGCCTCCTGAGTAGCTGGGATTACAAGCATATGCCACCATGCCCGGCTAATTTTTTATTTTTAGTAGAGATGGGGTTTCACCATGTTGATCAGGCTGGTCTCGAACTCCTGACCTCAAATGATCCACCCGCCTTGGCCTCCCAAAGTGTTGGGATTGCAGGTGTGCGGCATCACGCCTGGCCTTCTCCTTTTCGTAAAAGGACACCAGTCAGACTGGACTGAGGGACCACCTACTCCAATATGATCTCATCTTAGCTGATGATATCTGCAACGACCCAATTTCCAAATAACGTTACATTCTGCGGTTCTGGGAAGGGCATGCGTTTTGGGGGCCACTATCCAACTCAGTGCAGAGGTCTTGCTAGCCCCTGGCCACATGGGGTCATTGGGATGTGTCAGGGGCTAAAGACTGTAGAGTGCTTGCCCCAGCATCCAATAAAAAGTTCCACACTGTACCTACCTGGGAGCACATGCTTTTATGATATTGTCTGTGGAGTATCCTCTCTGTTCTTCTGCCACGATGGGTGTGTCAGTGCCTGATTCATTTCTCCACTAAACACGTGTTCACTGCTCATTTATATGCCAAGCTTCATTCTAGGGACCTGGGAAACAGTGAAGAACACAACCAACAGAGATCCCTGCCCTTGTGGCACCTAAATACATAGTTTATTGTTATTGTTATTACTGAGACAGGGTCTTTCTCTGTCACCCTGGCTGGAGTGCAGTGGTGCAATCACAGCTCACTGCAGCCTCAATTCCCCGGGCTCAGGTGATTCTCCCATCTCAGCCTCCACAGTAGCTGGGACTATAGGCATGCACCACCACGCTTGGCTAAGATTTTAAGTTTTGTAGAGATGAGGTCTCACTCTATTGCCCAGGCTGGGCTCAAACTCCTGGGCTCAGGCCATCCTCTTGCCTTTGCCTCTGAAAATGCTGAGATTACAGGTGTGAGCCACTAAATCTGGTCTAGAGTCATTTTTAGATGAGGAAATGGAAGCTCAAGAGCTGGAGGCATTTGCCCAGGTTACCCAGCCAGTAAGGGGTGGGGCCCGTAAGGGGTGGA